GCCCCCGGGCTGCAGCTGGAAAACGCTCGGACGGCCCCGCGGCAGGGACGGTCCCCGCCGGGGATCCCGCCACCCTGCAGGGACAGCCCGGGCCGGAGCTGCTCCGGCAGGGCGCCGGGCCAACCCCTTTGAACAAATACCTGACTTGGAGCACTGACGGCTTTAAGTCTCCTCTACAGGCAAAGGGCTTCAGCCTTTCTGGAAAGAAGGGTAAGCCTCCTCGGATGACGTTTTGCTTTTTCAAGTATGTGACAGCAGACACCACTCAAAACACAGCACTTCACCTGTCGAGGCAGTTTAGCGTGTTTTTCTCCACAGTCATTGCAGGTGACAGCGCTCAAGGTATCGAGACAGTGCCTTTTCCTTGTATGTCTCAACACCTCAAACACTGCTTTTAGAATACTTCTCGTTCTGCAACAAGACTTAGATGAGGGGTCCTTCTGTAATTTCTATACTCTCCCTCTAGCAGCCTGCAAGGGATAAGTATGTAAATTGGTAGAGAATGACAGCGAGAGGCCATCATCTGCCCGTTAACGTTTTTTTCCAGTACAGCTGAACGTGTAAGAACTGTCAGGGAGGCTTCCTGGCTGGCCCTTGTTCCAAAGAAGTCACTTTCCCCACTTTCCTTCTGTGAGAGGAAAACAGTGAAGTCACATCATGGAAGGGACACGTGTTGCAGGTCATTACTGATACTGTAAGAAACAAGAAACTGTGCAGCATTGTGGGATTACACAGCATACATAAACAATGAGGCTGATTGTCTTAATTGAAAAAAAGCTGTTACTCCTCAGTGTCTGGTACCAATCTTCCATAAAAACAGAATTGCAATCTTTAAGAGAAACTGCTTCAAATTGTACAACTTGGAGCACAGATTTGTGAGAGAGCAGAGATATATATATATCACTGTACATCTTCCCCTTCCCACATTCTTTAATGGTTTCAAACTTATGGTTTCCTATAAAGTATGACACAATTATGTGAGGCCATATATTTGACTGAGACAAATATAAGTTCTCTGCAGCAGTCAATAATCTTAATTCTCATTTCCTGATGTTAGTTAAAGCCTAGTTTGCTAAGTTGCATCAACCAAATTTGAATCTAATGTTACCTGTGGCTTAAAAAACAAAACATGATCCTGTCATGTTTCAGGCCAAAAGGGATGGCTGGCATTTTACTAATCTCATTCTAGTCTTTAACTCAAGAAATAAAAATACTTCAAAATGCACCTTGTAAGGTCTTAAAACATTACTGTGCTTGGCTTTCCTTTAAAAAAAACCAACAAAAAAAACAACAGTAACAAACCACCAAGGTGTTAGTGCATTTTAAGAATGTAATACATGCAGGTTAAGCTGTAGAGTTCACTAGAGCAGGAGTATTTAGACAGCTACCTCATGCAACAACTGTCTGCATCACCTTGACGCTGTCACATAAACCATGCAGTGTGGGAAAGAATTAAGCGGACACTGTTGGCACTATTTTATCCAGAAAGACAACTCTGTAGTAAATAAAGGGCTGGACACGGACCAGAAAAAGAATACAATTAAGACTCATCTCCTATGCAAAATTTCTAAAACTTTAATACTTGTTAATTCACCTCTAAACACACATACTTAGCATGAATGCACTTCAATAAAAATGGCAAACTGGTAACTAGTGTTTTCAACCTCTGATGAGCAAAGAGTAAGAGGCTTGAGAAATCACAGTATATTCACGGAAGAAAAAAATATTTGCAACTTCAAGTTACTCAACAGGTAATATATTTTTGTAAATGTTGTGGCATAACTACGGCAGTTAAATCACCTAATAAATTTAAACATATTGCCACCTTGATGTGTCTACAGTAGACAATGAAAACATGAACTTTTTAATATAATTGCTAAAAGTATATCTGTTCTCAAATAGTAACTACAGACAGTTTGCTAAGGCTGTGCGTGTTACCCCCTCACCCACGGCAGTGGTACATTAAAATATGGATATTTGCTAACAATTAGCACTAAGTTGAGGTAACAGGAAGAGAACAGTAGCACCAGCATGCTGTTTACTAATTGGCATTTGCTTATCAGACCATGAAAAACAGATACTGGTTTATCATTCTTAGTTTACATTTGGGCAATGGCATAAATTAGAAAACTTCAATTTCAAAAAATCCTACATTAAAGAGATACTACCTCTAAACCCTTCAAGATGACAGTCTTAGTAGTCCTGTTAGTCATTTTAAGATACATATACGATTTCTACAGTTTGGGAAATAAATTAACTGTTACCTCCAAAGCTGCCTCAACATGTTTTCTACTATAAGCAGAGGAAACAAACAATGGACACAGTAAAGAAGACTCAGGCAAAGGAAAGCATTGCTAATTCCACTACTGAATTTCAGTTTGGGTGGCAGGGAGGAAAGAGGTGATTTAAATAAGAATGTTTCAGAACACATAGTACAACTGGTAGGTCTCAAGTTGATCCCTGGTTTAATATTCATGTTACAATTTCTACATAGGTGGTTTGTTTTTTTTTTTTTCCTCAGGAATTGACAGACCTGTGCTCTCAGGTGTCTGCTTTACCAGACTACTATTCAACAAATTCCAGAGGTGTGTCTTGTCTTCTTCCATGCAGGTTACCAGAATGACCTTTTTTCTTCTGCTCTTTCCCAGGTGCGTTTCAGAAGGTACACTGCAGCATGAAGTCCCCCTACGTTCACCCATACGGTCTGACCTTTGCGCCAGATGTGTCCCATTCGTGACAAGGCCTGCAATCCAAAAAAACAGCCAAAGAGTGGTGGTGGCTTCAAGACAAGACAATAAGGGTAAATTTGCTTTTGAAATTATTTTTGATTATTCTAAATCTCATCTGATGGCAATGTCAAATGACTCTTCAGGTCTAAAACTGAATTTAAATGTCACTTATTATTGCTCTAAAAATAGATCATCTTCTGTAATGAAGTCAGCTTACAATTTTTTCCTCGATATATTTTCAAGTGTAAATAGGTTTGATTTTCTCTCAGAACATACCTTGGCAAAGCATTTCTTGTCCTGTGTAAGCAGCGCAGCCCTGCCTGTCCCTGGTGTGCAGATCCTGCCCATCTCCATAAGGCAGGCTGGATAGAGATCCCAGTTCTTCTTCTTTGACCCTATCCTGCAAAATAAATTAGGATCCCCTTTGTGATCATTGAAAAATAGCTAACAGTTGTTGGTCTTTCAGGCATGGATTAGCTCATTCAGGACCACATTCACTATTAATTTTGTCCTGCATTTTTAATATGGAGTACATCAATACTTCTTAATTAGGCTAACCAGAGAGAACCCTAACCCTGGACAGGCAAGCACATGCAGTAGCAGCAGTTAAGCGCATTAACTTTACCAGCGATACCTCACCTCTTTCCAAATGGCATGTCTGTCACAATAATGTCCACAGAACCAGTCCGCAAAGGGAGGTTGCAAATATCCCACTGAATGATGTCTAAGGGTATGCCCAGGGAAGTACTGCTGCAAGTGCAAAGACACTTATCTCAGACATGATTTACTGAGAATATTTTTAAATTGAGGAGGTCTATAATGTCAGCAAAAGAATGAACAGGAAAATACAAATAAGACAGTGAAATGCATCAATGCAAAATGGATTTCTTTACATACAATACTGCAGGAAAAGAAAATCACTGGTACTCTTCTCACCTTTCCTTATTCTCATTTTTCTTTAGTAAAGAACAGATGTTGTTTGCTGCTCTCTTTACAGCTTGTGGGTTGTTATCACCAGCAATATGGTAGCAGCTAGGCCATTCTGTAGCTCCCTGGGGTGGAAATACTGATAATAAGCAACACTAGCATCAACACTGCTTAATTCAAAACAAAACAAATAGAAGAATTACTCAAATATGACAGAATACAACAAAGCAACTGGAAGTGGATGTCAATGATTTTAAAATTCTGTAACAGATACCTGTTAGAGGTATTATGCACCTTAAAAGCTCAAAATACTTCTGGTTTTAGTTTCTTCCTGCTACAGCTTTAGGAAGGAAAATGAGGTCATTTACAAAAAGTGTGTTTGTATCTGTTTAAAAGTTGGTGAGATACTTTTGGAGTTCGCTATTCCGTTATAACCAAGAAAACTTACACGTATTATTCAGTTGCAGATACTGTCAAGTTTTATTAAGTTAAAAAATAAAGGAAGAATCACCTCTATTGGTATTGCACCTGTACCACACATGGGATCAACTATGATATCCGTTGGCTGTGGATCACAGAGTCTGAGAAACAGAAAAAAAGATGTGGTGACAAAAGAGAAAAGTCTCAAACACGTGAATTTCTGCAAGGAAGGAAAACTGAACTATTTTAATCACTCCAATTCTACCCTTCTAACAAAAAAACTTCTATGTGATTATTTTTTCCATTCATTAATTAGCATTTTATAAGCAGCAATACAGTGAAATACTTTCAGGAATGTGATACAGTATTTTGAAAACTGGCTAACACAGCAAACATTTACTAGCTGGAAAACATCCACTGTTAATTACGAAGAACACTGTTTCAGCAACTATGCTTTTTTTTTTTTTTACTTTTTTTTTTTCTTTTTCTAAGAATTAACAGAAACGGCTTTTGAGGAAGCAGTGGGGGGGGATGAAGGATCTAATTTCTGAAACAAAATTACTTTTTAACTGAGAATAATATAATACTATGCAATCACACTGACCTAAGCATGCCATAAGCAAGAGTTGAACGAAGAGTTGTGGGTCCAAAATGTGTAATATTTCTTCTGTGAAGACTCTCTTCAGTTAATGCAATACCCACAACTACTTCATTATTGTGAATATTCAGAAGAACCTAAAGAAAAAACTTGAACTAAATTTCAGGAGTAACAGAAGTTTTCCATAGTATGCCTGGTAGGTATTTATGAGAATCTTGGATGGTAATTTAAAAAAACCAGGAACTAGGTGTAAAAGAGCATCCTTGGAAGAAAAGCAATGCACCATTTTAATGGCAACAATGGACAAAATTCAGGAGAGCATTCACACATTTTCTCATTCACACAGAATGAGAACAAGCATTTTCTCATTCACACAGATTCTTGTACACAAGACTTCAAAAAGTGCTGTAACCATTATGCTGACTTTTAAAAAAGTTTTCTTTTATAAGTATGGGGGAGAAGTCGGGTAAGTCCTGCAAGTCACAGTGAAGCATTTGCAAAGCAGCAATAAAAATCATATTCCTGGTCCCTCCACCATACTAATTTGGAAGGTGAAAATATTGTTACAGGACAGTGGGCCAGCCCTTAATAGACTTGCAAGAAAAAGTCAGTTTTTCTGCCCCTCAGAAATGGTGGTCCTGTGCCATTGATGGACCACATCTGTTGGTCATGCTTTCCAAATCTCTGCTTTCCCTATGATAAGAAATAAACACTGGACAGTTAATGTTAACCCTTTTTGTCCCCTTCACCCATAAAACTGCAGCTTCTAGAGGGAATATCCTCTGTTAACTTCTTACACCGATATAAAACAATGGATTAAGGAAAGATTTAATGAGGGTAAAGGTAAAGCAGAAGGCGCCTACATTATACTTAAATATGAATGAGACCAAATGCTATAGGAGGAGGTAACACTCGGTACCAGTGCTTTTGCTGTGGTTGAGGGAGAGCAGAAAACTTTTGAGCACCAGCTCAGCTGCGTTCGGTGTAGTGGTGTTAATCAGTTAACCTGAGGAGAAGACAACAGTGTTTGCAGAGCAAAAGAGGGACCCAAGGAAGAGGAGAGGTGCCCACACTGGGCCACAAAAGAGATTATTATTATGGATAGCCAAAGCAGTAGCAAGTGGTGAGATCTGAGGACACACATAATGCATCAGTGAAAGGAATGCTTCTGAGGAGGCCATGATTTCAGCGTTACCAGTTTTTAGTTCCAGAGTCATCTTTTGAAGGCATTTTGGAGATCTCTAAGCACCAGAATTAAGAACTAAGAATTTTTACCATAGAAATGCAGTACATAGAAATGTACTTCCAAGGCACAACACTATACCTCTACATCAAAGTTAGTCATGTCAGCTTTCCACTGGAAGTGCTCCTGCACAGCTCCACCGAAGTCTCTCGCAGCCTCGTTTGACGTGAAACTGTGCTTGTCTCCTGCTCTATTGCACGTAACACGGAACTTCAACACCTTCGCCTCTCCTTCGCTTGTCTTACTGTCACCAGCCTTGGTCTCACTCCCAGAACCCGCCTGCAATTCGTCTTTAGCATCTGCTTGTTCATTATCCTCCTCCTCCTCCTCTTCCCCATTTTGGGATGCCACTCCTTGTGTCTTTTCTGTATCCTGGCCGCTAGCAGGTTCTACACCTGCAGCGTTTTGGGCACAGCCCTCCTGTTTACTAGCGTCTTTTTGATCTGTCCCTTCCCCTTGTCCATCCTCATTCAACTTCTCTTTGCTTGCAGTACTCTGCAGATTATGTTTTTTGCGTTTTGTCTTTTTCTTTTTTAAGCTGTTGTTCAGCTCCCAAACTTTCAATGGATCGGTCCAAGGCAGTTTTTTAACCAAATCTTCCAAATCCTTTAGAGCATCTTCCTTTAAAAGACAAAAAAAGTTGTGCTTTGAAGTCATTCCATCTCTTTAAAAACTATCCTTTTTTTAAGTCTCTCAGATTAGTTTCCTAAACATGTAACCCACTACACATTTAAGCGAAGCTTACAGCTTTTTGTGAGACTTTTGCCATAACTAAACAGAACTGCACTTAAAAGTCACAGGACCCATAGTATTTCATCATTTGTCTCATCAAATAAACAGCTAATGCTAAAATAAGCAACAGAAGTGATACCTGAGTCTAAGTGTGACCTACAAGCATGGTATCGGCTCTGATCCTAGATTTTGCCTACACAGCATATTTAACTGAAGAAATTATGTTAGACAACATGACTGCACTTCCATTTTACAAGCCAGCACAGAGGAACTGGGATAATATCACAAATAAAATAAAAAAGACAACTTGTTCATGAAACAGAGTACTTTCTGAAACTCATCTTGAATTAAAAAAAAAACACTCCAAACCCCAGAACTGATTGAAAAACGATGAGTAACTCACCTTATTTTCTTTAAATTGATAGTCTTTGAACTCCTGAACAACAACAAATAAATTATCCACTGACCTTAGGCGATGGACCTAGAAGAAATGAGAAACCACAGCGGCACGTTACTAACCACATATGTCCAGGGGACTCCATGTTCATTGTAATTAGAATGTTGTAATCTTATATCCAGATTTAGAAGACTGTGTTTTTCCACTTTTTTTGTTTATATGGGGATTATCACTTTACGTGCAAAGCCAGAAGGAAGATTTCCTTGTGCGGACTTAAGCTCCCCACCTCTGACTTCATCTACCCTTGCAAAACCACAATAAGCCTGGATATAGCTCTTGAAAGCAGGACAGCCGAGGCAGGGTTTCCAAGTGTTTTCATAACGAACGCCTTTAAAACGAAACTATTTCGCTCACGGTGGGCTAAGATCCTGTCCTTTGCGTTAAAACCACCGCTAGTCTAGTCACAGCCAGGGCAGCAAGGCCGCCGGCCGCGGCCCCGGGCCAGCGGGGAGCGGGCCGGGGTCGGCGGGGAGGGGAGCGGGGAAGGGACCGGAGCGGGCCGCCCGCCCGCGCGGACCTGCGGCAGGCCCCGGGCCGGGACCTCGAAGTAGATCTTCCCCCGGTCCCTGCTGATCCTGGAGGCCGAGCCCAGCTTCTCCTGCACCTCCTCGGCCGCCGTCAGCTCGAAGCCGGTGGGCACGGTGGCGCCGATAACGGCCGTGAGCTCCGCGCCCCCCTCGGCCGGGGCC